CAAAGATAGTAAAAAAAGTCGGGGGACGATTTGTTTAACTATACGTGGAAATGTTGCTTGTATGATTGTGGGGTATTTTTATTGTGTCGCCAAAAATCCCCCTGTAGGAGGACACGACCGACGTAAGTCTTAGATTGCGGGGGCCCCGCGGTCCAGAGGCTGACCTTCAAAGGACCCCCATTGGGGTTCGGGAGGGGCTCCGCTTGTCGGGCCGCTCCCGAGGTCTAGGTCGGAAAACCTGAGGCTCGCCGTGGCCAGGAAAGCTCCTTCGTTCCTGCTTCAGCGCTCCTCGTGGCAGCACGACGACTACACTCACGACCAGGGCTGGACCTCAACGCTGTTTTACCGGACTTCGGCCGTGCTTCTTTGCTTTTTCCCGGAAAGGGCGCGGGCCCAGGGTTCTCTTTTAGTAGGTTAACCCCCCGGCCCCCCTGCGACTTGGGCCGGCGAAATTATTCTGCGATAAATTACGTGCGGGAGTAGGGCCGGCGAATTAAAATTTGAGGATGTCTCGAACGAAACGCTTGGTTTTCAGAAATTGTTGAGGATGTCTCGAGCGAAACGCTTGTTTTGTATTATATATTGTGCTCTCCTGGGGACCTCAATTCAGAGGATCTCTCAGGTGAAATGCTTGTTTTCACGTGCCCAGGTTTTGAGGATGTTTCGAGCGAGACGCTTAGTTTCACGCCTCCAGGTTGCCCAGACGGGTGTCGAGCATGAGGATTTGTTGAGGATGTCTCGAACCAGAGGCTTGTTTTCACGTGTCCAAGTTGCCCAGGCGGATGTCTAGCATGAGGCGGTGTCGAGGAAGTCTCGATCGAGACGCTTGTTTGCGCGTGTCCAGGTTGTCCATGCGGATGTCTAGCATGAGGATGTGCTGAGAACGTCTTGAGCGAAACTCGTGTTTTCACGTGTCCAGGTCGCCCAGGCACAGCACAGCCCTCGGCACGGTACATCAATATCGATACCCTTAGCATTGCAGCTTGGCACGTTGCCTGGCACGTTCCGCGGAGCGTCCCGTGGCGAGTCCCCCTGGCACGTCGCGCGGTGCACGTCCATTGGCTCGTTCCGTAGCGCGTCCCCTTGGCACGTCCCGCGGTGCGTGCCCATGGCACGTCCCTCGGCACGTCGCCTGGCGCGTCCCTTGGGACGTTCCGCGGCGCGTCCTCCTGGCATGTCCCCCTGTCCATTAGCTCTGGGGCAGCTACTATGTGCTGAGGCCGCTCGAGCTTAAGATCTAGGTCGGTTCGGTCAGGACTCGCGTGCAAAGGAGGACTCGATCCACAACGCTATAGAGCACAATCGCGGCATGGCACGTCGCAGTTCAGCACAGCGCAGCACAGCACAGCCCACGGCACGGTACATCAAGATCGATACACTCAGCATTGCAACTTCGGCACGTTCCGTGGCGCGTCCCGTGGCGAGTCCCCCTGGCACGTCGCGCGGCGCGTCTCCTGGCACGTCCATTGGCACGTCCATTGGCACGTTCCGTAGCGCGTCCCCTCGGCACGTCCCGCGGTGCGTCTTCGTGGCACGTCCCTTGGCACGTCGCCTGGCGCGTCCCTTGGGACGTTCCGCGGCGCGTCCTCCTGGCATGTTCCCCTGTCAGTTAGCTCCGAGGCAGCTACTATGTGCTGAGGCAGCTCGAGCTTAAGATCCAGATCAGTTCGGTCAGGATTCGGATGCAAAGGAGGACTCGATCCACAACGCTATAGACACAATCGCGGCATGGCACATCGCAGTTCAGCACAGCGCAGCACAGCACAGCTCTCGGCACGGTACATCAAAATCGATACATTAAGCATTGTATTTGCCCGTCGCCCAATCAGGTGTCTTTCAAACGTTGCCATGCCTTACATTTCTATATTCCTTTCCGGGTTCGTGGGTCGATCATGTTCGTTTTGGCGGGGAGATTGAGGAACACAGGTTAGCGCAAAACGAAAAAACAAAACGCACACAAAACGAAAAGCAACGTTTAGGTCCAGCCCTGCTCACGACGTCGCCCCCTCCTCTGCGGCCCCGGGCCCGGCGGGGGGGGCTCTTCGGCCCTGCGCGGGCGAGCAGGGGAGGTATGTGGTATGTGGGCAGCCCAGGCCTTCTTGGCGACTCCAGGATTAAGTCGGGCATGTCCCTCTGCAGGAGGAAAATCCAAAAATAGTCAAAAAAATAGTATGGGGATTATGTTTTGAATATGTTCTAGCATTTGGGCGTAATTCTTGAGTGTTTCCCAACCAACCTGTGTTGTTGGGTCCTCGTTTTGAAGAGACGGTTCCCGCGTTCCTCCTCCTCTTCCTCCTCCTCCTCCTCCTCCTCCTCCTCCTCCTCCTCCTCTCCTCTCCTCCTCCCTCCTCCTCCCTCCTCCTCCCTCCTCCCCCTCTTCCCTGCGTTTCACCCACCCAGTACAGCGCTTCGTAGCCCCATAGGGAGCTCCCCCGACGGCCCCAGTGCCACCGTCCACATGCGTCCCCCCACTCAGTACAGCGCTTCGTGGCCCAATAGGGAGCTCCACCGAAGGCCCCAGTGCCGCCGTCCACATGCGTCCCCCCCACTCAGTACAGCGCTTCGTGGCCCCATAGGGAGCTCCACCGAAGGCCCCAGTGCCACCGTCCACATGCGTCCCCCCCACTCAGTACAGCGCTTCGTGGCCCCATAGGGAGCTCCACCGAAGGCCCCAGTGCCACCGTCCACATGCGTCCCCCCACTCAGTACAGCGCTTCGTGGCCCCATAGGGAGCTCCACCGAAGGCCCCAGTGCCACCGTCCACATGCGCCACCGTCCACATGTGCCCCCCCCACTCAGTACAGCGCTTCGTGGCCCATAGGGAGCTCCACCGAAGGCCCCAGTGCCGCCGTCCACATGCGTCCCCCCCCACTCAGTACAGCGCTTCGTGGCCCCATAGGGAGCTCCACCGAAGGCCCCAGTGCCACCGTCCGCATGCGTCCCGCACACCCAATGTGGCATTTTCACCCACCCAGTGCAGCGTTTCGTGGCGCCACAGGGAGCTCCACCGAAGGCCCCTTGGGACCGTCCGCAAGCGTCCCGAAACACCCAGTGTGGCATTTTCACCCACCCAGTCCATAATTTCGTGGCCCCATAGGGAGCTCCACCGAAGGCCCCAGTGCCACCGTCCGCATGCGTCCCGAAAACCCAACTTGGCATTTTTACCCACCCAACATTTTTACCCACCAAACACAACGTTGCGTGGCCCTTTAGTGAGCTCCACCGAAGCCCCAAGTGGGACCGTCCGCATGCGTCCCCGAAGCCCATTGTGGCATCTTCACCCACCCAGTACAGCGCTTCATGGCCCCATAGGGAGTTCCACCGAAGCCTCCAGTGGGACCGTCCGCATGCGTCCCGGAAGCCCAATTTGGCATTTTCACTTACCCAGCACAACGTTTCGTGGCCCCACAGGGAGCTCCACCGAAGCCCCCAGTGGGACCGTCCGCATGCGCCCCGGAAACCTTACTTGACACACCACTCGCCCAGAACAGCGTTCCCCCACACCCAGTGCAGCGCTTCGTGGCCCCATAGGGAGCTCCACCGAAGAAGATTTTCACAATTGCGGCACCCACAACTGCATATGGTTGGGTCATTCGCCAGGATAATTTTTATTCTCTTGCACAGCTGTGCTCTAGAGCTCAGACATCTTTATTTTCGTGCCGTGTCGTGTCGTTCGTCCCCCTGCCCCCCCCCCCCCTGGCCCCCCCCGTCCAGGCTCCCCAGGGCAGCCCCCCTGGGCCTCGGACACCTTTTATTCGTTCGTGTCGTGTCGTGTCGTTCGTCCCCCTGCCCCCCCCCTCTGCCCCCCCCCGCCCAGGCTTCCCAGGGCAGCCCCCCTGAGCCTCGGACACCTTTGTGCAAGAGCCAGGGCACGCGTGCCACTTGTTTTTCGTCCGACATCCCCCTGTAGGGGGACAGGCCCGACCTAAGTCCAGGAGGCCCGCGCCGGAGGTCTTGCACAAGTCTCCTGTCAGGGAAGCGGAGACGGGGCAACAGCAGGCAAGAAACGTCCGCTTCGAGGCAAGAAGCGCGCACTTCGTTGCAGGGCAGGCTTGCCGGCTTTCGCGTTCAACGCAGCCCCTGCTACATGTTGTCTGCGTTGAGATTGATTGGCCGCTGCATCTTAACTTTGTGTTTTGGGCCCTCTGTTACACGGTTTGTGGGGCGTGTTAGCAGCCTTTCAGCAACTAGTTGCAGAACAGATGCAGTGCACCTTTTACGCGCTGTAGAAGAACAAGCGTGGATTTGTTGTTCCGTGCGTGTCAGTTTGTCCTTCTGGATCCCATGGTGGGCCTCTGTTCCCCCTTGTAGGTGCTGCCCGGCTTAGTTTTCCCGGTTCCCTGCCTCTGGATGCCGCTCTGGGGCCCAGGTGATGGGACTGTTTTCCACCACCACCACCATAAGTTGGAGGGGGGAAGGAGGTGGAGGAGGAGGAGGAGGACGAAGAGGAGGAGGAGGAGGAGGAGGAGGAGGACCAGGAGGAGGAGGAGGAGGAGGACCATCACCAGGGGCCAGCGTCAAGAAGGCTTGGAGCGGGAAGAGGCCGAGGGGGTCGAGGGGCCAGGTGCCAGCGGCTCCGAAACATCGAGCCGCCAGAGGTCTGCGAAGAAGGGGGGGGAGAGGAGGGAGCGAGTGAAGCAAGGAGGCGGAGGAGGGTGGATGATGATGATGATGATGATGATGATGATGATGATGATGATGATGATGATGATGATGTTGGTGATGATGATGATGATGCTGATGATGATGATGACGGTGATGATGCTGGTGATGATGATGATGATGATGATTATGATGATGATGATGATGATGATGATGATTATGATGATGCTGATGAGGATGAGGATGAGGATGAGGATGAGGATGAGGATGAGGATGAGGATGAGGATGAGGATGAGTATGAGGATGAGGATGAGGATGAGGAGAAGGAGGACGAGGAGGAGGAGGAGCAGCAGGAGGAGTTGGATGGGGAGGAACCGGGCCGGGCCGGCCAAGGAGAGAGACCGCTTCGAGCTGAGGGTGCTGCCAGTGGAGGAGGAGGCCTCTCAGCCCACGCTCTGGCTGGGGAGATGCGGCGCGCGGGGGTCGCCGACCATTCCGCCTGCGTGCCTGTATCGATCCTGGCTGGGGCAATCCCAGCTCACCGATGCGTGTATGCTTCATAATGTTGGTTACGGCAGGTTCGCGCTCTCAAGGTTGAGCACCCTCCAGGGGGCTGGTGTCGGGCGCTGGGGCTCAAGAGGAAGCATGCCATGATGCGAAGTCCGCACGATCGATAGATCCGACAGGAATCAGGAGCTTGCCGCAGTTAGACTTGGAAGGCTTTGTTTCCGCAGAGCATCGGAGGTACAGTAGAGCATCGGATTAAGAAACCTCCTCCCAAAAAGCTGGGCCAGCGTCTCTGACTCTAAACCAACTTGCTGGAGAGCTGAACCAGTTTCTTGAGCACGTTCGCCCCTCCAGCGCTAATAATAAGCATTTGCCCAGGCTTCATCAAGAAAACGTCAGGAAAGCTTGCCCAGGTTTCTTAAATGAACACTTCTCTTGATGATAATTTTGGATGTGTACGTAGCCATGTTGGCTTAAGTTTCGGCCCTCGCGCACAGACCGAAAGACATCGGCAGCGCTGTTGCTTCCTCACCCACGCAGCAGAGATGGCGCCTATGATGAAGTCCACGGTGATGGCCAAGAGCGCCCTCATGGCGGCGCTCGCGGAGGCCTGCGAGGTGAAGAGGGGCGTGATCGGCACGGCCTTGAGCACTCTCGCGAGTATTGCAACGACAGAGGTGAAGAAAAACGGCAAGTTCGTCATCCCGGGCGTTGTGATGATCAAGACCCGCCAGAAGAAGGCCACCCAGGCTGGGAAGCGCGAGATCTTCGGCAAGGTCGTCATGGTGAAGGCGAAGCCGGCCAAGACCATCGTCAAGGCCTTCCCCGCGAAGGCCCTCAAGGATGAGTTCTGAGGGCCTTCCAGTCTGAGGCGAGCTCGTTGAAGAGGCTCAGCGGGTGCTCCCTCAGGTGCTCGTCCATCTATCCCTTCGAGGAGTCTTTTTGTCATCATGTCCAGATTGGCTGGAGGGATCGTGGTTATGCATGGCCTTCTGGTCCCAGGAAGCTCGGCGAGGGCGACCACATGTACTTCAATTCCGTCTCGCAGAGGAAAAACAAACATTGGCTGTATACGTCGGCGCGTAGGAAGCCCAACACCTCCTATCCCGGCACTGTTGGTGCACCTGGTCGTCGTTTCTTCGTTTTGTTCTCCCGTCGCCGTCTGCTTCTTTGTGCTTATGTATAATCGTACACAGCCGTAACATAAGTCGTGATTCGACTTGCTATGGTGAAGATATATCCCATCCATTTTAAGATCCCTAACGTTCTGATAGTGGCGTGATTCGGCGGAGTAGTTTCCGATCTGCCTGATGCTTTTAATGTTGTTATCCCAAAGCGTGATCGGAAACAACTTCGCGCCACACCCTATAAAGTATCAAGCAGGATGCGCCCGCATGCAGCACGCGGAGTAGTTAGAGTATTCTTACTCCGAACATCTCCGCCTTGCTGCACTGATGGCGATTGCAGATCATGAGAAACTTTCGTCACGGTGATTATGGTTTGCGCCCTCACGTTCGTTCTACCATTATTTTCCTTCCCCGCATCCTTGTCGCCTGTATCGTCCTCGTGCCTTTCCTCTTGGCCTGCTCCTCTTGCTCCAGCCCCCCTAAGCTCCAATCCAAAGAAAGCGCCCTAATGAACCAGACCCCCCCAAGTTACAAAAAAGGCGCCTTAAAGCGCCGCGTAGCTTACCCACCCACAGTGCAATAACTTACCTTTTGGGGTCCACAGCTTGGGAGGACAGTTTCCTGACCCATTACGTCGTGCCATACCCTCCCCAAACAAAACAAACATATGCCTTGTTGGGGGGAAACCAGAGACGGCTGGTCTGCGCCACGTCAGCGGGGCGGCCATGCAGCCGCGCACGCTCCAGGCGGAAGGCACTGGGCGACCTGAGCCAGCGCAGCCCGGACCGATCCTTGCTTTTCGGATCGCGGGCAGGGGGATCATTCAGGACTGAACGATCTATGCGATGCCAGGAACCAGCGTCACTGTCGACACGACAGGAGGCAGCCGCATCCACGGAGCGTTCAGAGGAGAAGGAGGAGGAGGAGGAGGAATATGGGAAGGAGGAGGAGCAGAGCGCCGATGGAGGCACGTTCACTCGGGGTGGAAGCACGCTGGGAAGCCTCGGCCTCGGTGGAATCGCTGGAGGATCGGTGCAACGCCTCTCATGAAGGTCAATTTCCACATGAAGGTAGGGCACTCGGACATGGAGCGAGTACTGATGAGAATGCTCGCAGGATGTTCATTGGCACATTCAATGGGTCCAGTTGGTTATCGGATACTGAGGCAGAACTGGAGGGCATTTCGGGCAAAGACAAAGCGAGCTTTAGTGACTTTATGGAGACAACGATTGGAGACATCAACTTGTTGCAGGAACACCGTCTACAAGGAAGGTTGTTTCAGTTTCAGATCTCTAGACTGCAACGAAGTGGATGGAAAGCGTATGGATGTCCAGGAGTTCAGTTGGAGTCAGGGTTTGTGTCGGGTGGAACCTTCGTGGTCGTCAAGAACCACCTCGACACGTGGAACCCGCCTGGGGTATCGGCCGTCATCTATCCTGGGAGAGTGTCCAGGTGCTTTTTCAGAAGTGCGAGGCTGGGGGTGTTGGCCATATACTCAGTGTATCTCAAAGACTCGGAAGGACTATCTGTGGTCAACAAAGAAGTCCTGGCCGCGATGTGGAATGACTGTTTCAAGCATAATTTACCCTTCATCACCGGGGGCGACTTCAACATGGAGCCGCATATTCTTTACAACCATGTTCCCAAGCAGCTTGGTTGTGTCATCAGGGCCACAAGTGTGCCCACATGCGTCGGAGCGGGATCGTCGGTACTCGACTACTTCATCATAAGCAGGGTGGTCGACTACGCAGTCCCGACGATCCATGTCGACTTGGAGGCGCCGTTCAGCCCGCACAGGCCTGTACTGCTCCACGTCAAAAAGATGATTCAGGATATCAAGGTCAGGATCCCCAAGTCCTACCAAGAGGTACCCCACCAGCCAGCCATCGGGCCCAAAGAGGAGCCACCGTCTTATGAGGACCTGGCTGGAAGGCTTCAAGAGTTCGTCGAGGGTTGTCGGGACCCCAATGGAGTTGCCCACATGATCTTTGGGGCTCGGAGGGTCACAGGCCTTGAGATCCTCAATGAAGTGTGCTCGGAGTGGGCTCCAAGAGCTTGGACAGAAATATTAGGTGTTGGCCAATGTCATGGAGTCTCGGGGCTTGCTGGTGGGGCCCCCATGGAGTTCACAGAGGTTCAGCTCTCCAAGTTGCTTGCCACTAAGCAGTATAAGAACGCGTACCCAGGGCGCCCCATTCTTTGGGTTCTGAACCGCGTCAAGGAGCTTAGGACCCTCATCAGGAAAAGGGCTCTTGGGAAGTATGTATGGGATCTTCTCGGGCAGTGGGATGGTCTCCCTGAACGTGGTGGCCCTTTCCGTCGACATTGGCGGGCAGGAGGTGAATTCTGGCATCAGTTCTGTTCCTCTATCTCCAGGACGCTTCGAAGCACCACGTTGGGAGAAGATGCCGTGGGGATTCTGGACAAGACTCTTGAGTTTGTTGCTGTTTGGGCTAATCTGGGATCTTTGGAGGATAGATCCAGGGCCAGGAGCTCTTGGAACCAGTGGTGCACCGAAGCGGCCGAGTCCAGCATGAAAATGGCGTACGCGTACTTGAGGACGGGAGAACCCGCCAACGAAGAGGTTGTTGCATGTGGGGACTCGTTCACGAGTTCGTTGCCCGCTCGACTCGCGCATGAGAGAGAGATGTGGAAGGAAAGGTGGCAGGGGAGTGATGTCAAGGTCGAGGTTGAACCTTTCGTGCTTCCGTCCATGGCCATTCCTGTTCCAAAGCCGAGAGAAATAGATGAGTTGCGACACATCAGTTCCAGATTCAAGGCTTTCACATGCAAACCTGATGGATTTCATCCTCGTCATTTCAGCCTCCTCAGCGAAGATGGGCTCTCGGTGCTTGCCAATCTCTTCCATCTTGTTGACATCCTTGGGGAAGCGCCACAGCAGATGCAACATCTTGTCATCTTTCTCATGGGGAGACCAGACAAAGGCAGGCGCCCCATTGGCCACTACAATGGATTCGCCAGACTGCACGGGAAGACACATCGGGGCCCCTGCCGACAGTGGGAAGAGGCTGTTGGGCTAGGTCCTGAATTTTCAATGGGCAAAGGCAGGAGCGCGTTAGATATGGCGCGGAGGCAGAGTGTGCATGCTGAGAGGACCACAGGGCTTAGAATGCATTATGGGACTGTCTTGAGGGATATCATGCAATTCTATGAGCATATCACGCATAAGAAGTTGCTTCAGCAGAGTGTCATCTCTCAGTTTCCGCTCCACATCCTTCTCCACACGCTGTCTACGTATCGTTGGCCGCGAACACTGCTGTTGGACGGGGCTTTTGCTGCCCCTGTCTGGCCGCGAAGGGGCATTGTAGCTGGGAGTACCTCGGCCACGTATGAAGCGAAATCTGTTCTGCTTCCCACCATTTTGAGTCATCGGGGGCAGGAGGGAACGAGTCAGGGTCTGCATGTCGATGATTTGTCCATTCATTCGTGGGGGACCCAACCCGAGACGGTTGTTGAGAAGCTTCAGGATCTGGCTACCAGTTTAGCTGTCGTCCTTACCCAACATTAGGAGGTCCCTATGGCCGAGAAGAAGATGGTTTCTGCTGCTAACTCAAATGCGTTACTTAAAGCTATCCTGACCAAGTTAGGGTCCCTTGCGGGTCGTGGAGAGTGGGTCGCTACTAACTTGGGTTTGGCTTTTACTGCGGGTAAACATCAAGGTTGTAGATTTGCTCGAGCTGTTCGGAAGAAGCGTTTTAGAACGTTCAACTTCAGGATCTCCAAACTCAGCGGTTTGAAGGTCTCCCAGGGGAAGAAAGCGAGGTTGCTTAAGACAGGGGTTCTTCCTACGATCTCTTTCGGCATGGAGGTGCAAGGTATTACACCACATGAACTGCTGCGAATCAGACGTGCCGCTGCCAGAGCTGGGGGTGTCAGCAAGCGGGGGTGCAACCTTGACCTCATGTGGGCAGTCTCCCCCAAGGACGACCCCATTCACCTGGCCGCAGGAGCGTTAAAAAGGTATGCTTGGGAGTGGTGGCACATGTCAGAACAATCCTCGCACGGACCTCGTCGCCACGCGGATGCGCTTAGCACAGGAGAACTGAATAAGACCTTCCGTGTGGTGGAGAAGGAGTTTCGGAAGTCTCAAGGAAAGTCTTGGTTGGTCCGCACAAAAGGACCCATATCGGCTATGTTACTTTGGCTCCAGGAAGCGGGTTGGTCTTGGGGGAGCCCAGCTGTCCTAGTGAGTGCCAGTGGTCAACGCTATGTTCTGACTGAGAGCCCGCCCCAAGCTGTTGCTGAAGGCTTCACAAGTGACCTCAGTAGGCATTTCCTGAATAAGTATCTGAGGAAAGTAGCTAGTGAGGTAGGATTCGACAGTCCAATTGTTGGGGAGGGCTTTTGGCTCCCTGTAGTTGTTCGCACGGCCAGGAAGCTGGACGGTGAAGGGAACCGCCTCTACCGCCAAATTTTAGCTGGAGCTTTACCCACAGGGTCTGCCTTGATCCAGTGGGGATATCAAGTTGAGGAGGTCTGTCCGTTGTGCCAGACGGCGGCAGACACTTCGCGGCATAGGATGTGGCAGTGCCCCTGCCCTGAGGCCGAGGAGAGGAGGCAGGAGCACTTTGGTTCTGATTTGTTGGCCCAGGTCCGAGCCGCGGGACCAAATAGTGCGTTACTTTCTCGCCTGTGGCCTGTCATGCCAGAGATAGATGCTCCTGCTTCTGACTGGAATCTCACTTTTGTAGGGCCGCAAGGAGAGGAAGTCGAACCCTTCTTCTTTGAACCTGATGAGACGCTTTTCTCAGACGGCTCCTGCTACCAAGGCGAGATCCCTGAGGCAGCAAGAGCGGGATTTGGGATTGCGTCGATGTCAGATGACGGTAGTTTGGTCAGAGGGGTATATGGTCCCCTCCCTGCCGTGCACCAACAGTCGAGTGGTGCTGCAGAGCACGCTGGTTTGGCGGTCGCTATTTTGCGTAGGAATGTGGGCAGTGCCGATCATGCCGCCAGCAGTATAAGAGTTGACTATTCTGGCCTTTTCGCGGGTGTTCGCAACGCTTCGAGGGTGTTGTCGGGCAGGACGCACTTCAGCTTCTTTTGGAGGGAGATTGGCAAGCGTCTCCAGAATAATCCGTGGCCGACGCTTTCCAAGGTGAAAGCTCACCGCTCGTTCTTTGAAGCCACTGGTGCTGAAGACTACCTGAACATTGCGGGGTCGACCATGGCGGATTTATTTGCAAAGCGCGGTGCTCAGGTGCATAATATTTCACCGTGGGATCTAGAGGCTCTCAAGCAAGGAGAGCGCGAATATCAAAGCCTTGTTGCAGGCGTCATCCATGTTCTCAAGGGTTGGCCCAGCTGCAGCCAGCAGTTTGGGAAGATTTCCAGAGCCCCGAGGCCCAAAGTGGTCCGACAAGGGGTGGGGCACATTCCGTCAGCACATGGCAATTGTATGAGGTGCCTGAGGTGCTTGAGGGTAGTGTCGGGGCAGACTTCCTCTCCTTGCGTTGCTCCCAACCCCACGATCCGCTCCTTGTTGGAGGGCGGTGCGGGGTCTGGGCATAAGTTGCATTGGGCTCGATGTGAGGAGTCAGATGCCCCGATCATCTTTTGTGTGTTGTGTGGTGGCTCAGCGTCGGTCAAAGCCGATAAGCTTCTGAAGCCATGCACAAACCCCAGGAGGTCCTCTGAGCGTTCCAAGCTTCTCAGAGGGATCGTTCCTGGGACGTCCCTACGTCTGGGCAAGTCCTTTCCCCTTTCGTCTTTTCCCCCTTTCCCGTTCCCTGCTTCCACCCCACGGACTTCGACCCAGGACGAGGGAGTTTCCTCTATGTAGTCAGCGTTCGGTGCTCTTGGAGTGTCAGGACGCTCGTCAGTCTGTTGAGTCTGTTGAGGAGGAGGAGGAAGAGGAGGAGGAGGAGGAGGAGGATGAGGAGGAGGAGGAGGAGGAGCATGAACAGGAGCTGCAGCTGCCCACGTGCGCGGGCGAGTCGGACGCCACAGGCGCCCAACGCAGGCTCGAAGCGGCCGGGGTCATCGCTGACGCCCAGGGACGCGGCGGCGGAGTACCGTTCAGGCCCATGGGCGATTGACGTTGCGGTTGCTGACCTCGGCGCTGTGCGGCTCGTTCCAAAAGCCACGCTGCCGTCGAGCCCGCAAGCTGGCCTGCCAGCGAGAGTGCCGAGGCGATTTGCTAGTCGCATTTTTCGGCATCTGGAGGCGTTGGAGGCCACGCGGCTTTGGGGCAGTCTGGGCGCAGAGCGGCGCGAGGGCCTACTGTCCTGCCCTCTGGCTTCAGATGCCCACGCAGCCGGCGGATTATCTCCCTACGGCGCACTTCCGGGCTACCACGCTGCGGCGCCTCGGCGCGCTGTCTGCGCCTGCTGGGGCGACGTGCCAGATTCGGCGCAGGGATCGTGACTGCGAGGACGTCTGCGGCCAGCTGCTGGATCGAAGCCTCAAGCACGCGCAACTCTGCAAGCAGGGCCCGGGGCCCGGCCAGAATGAGACCGCACCGTGCCCTGGCGCTGACCCTCGCACGCCTGCTCCAGGAGTGCCGGGCGGAGATCGACATCGAGCGAACCGTCACCGATCTCGAGCGGGTCACTCTGACGGGCAGGGTCCAGGAAGCGATCCTCGACTTGGTGGTCACGTTCCCTGGGTCGGTACAACCGCTGTACGTCGACGTGACCATCAGATGCCCCCACGTTGCGCGGTACTGCGCGGTACCTGCGTGCTGCGCCTGTGGCGGGGGACGCGGCTGCCGAGGCAGCCAGGGGCAAGCGACAGCGTCACGGCAACGCGGTCCTCCCCGTGGCTGTGGAATCCTATGGCCGGCTTGGCGCTGAGGCTGTCCAGTCCTTGGAGCACCTGGCCACGCACGTCGGCGCCTGCATCCTTGATGCTTGGGCGGCCCCCAGGCTGGTCCCCCGGTGGCGGGCCGCGCTGGAGCGCATTACCCAGTGGGCCGCTGCTGCCATCGACCTCCTCGCCCTCGGTTGCGCACCGGCTGCCGCCCAGGCCCGACTGGCCTGGGCCCGCGTGACGGGCGTGGCGGCGCAGCCGTGGCAGCCGAGATTGAATTATAATGTTGTTTTTCGACCAGAGTTCGCTTCCAGGTGGTACCTTAGCAGCAGCAGTAGCAGCGGCAGCAGAAGAAGCAGCAGCAGTAGAAAATAGGATGAGGAAGCGGCATGGGCAGGAACAGGAGGTGGAGGACGAGGAGGAGGAGGAGGAGGAGGAGGAGGAGGAGGAGGAGGAGGAGGAGGAGGAGGAGGAGGAGGAGAGGGAGGCAGAAGCAGCAACATGAGGTGGAGGAGCGGGGGGAGTAAATGGAGACTGAGCAGGAGCAGCAGCAGCAGCAGCAAAAGCAAGAAGAGAGGGAATGGGAGGGCTGCGGGAGGGGGCGGGCCGCGACAGTCGAGAGGGGGAGGGCAAGGGGGCGGTGCATGCCAAGGACAGTCGAAGGCGAAGGGGAAGGCGAGGGCGAAGGCGAAGGCCCAGGCGGGGAGGGAGGAGGAGAATGAAGCGGCGCCAGTGGAGCGGAGTGGGGGGGGGACAGAGTGGGATGGAGGAAGGAGGTGGAGGGGGAGGAGGAGGAGGAGGAGAAGGAGGAGAAGGAGGAGGAGGAGGAGGAGGAGGAGGATTAAGAGGAGGAGGAGGAGGGAGGACGAGGAGGATGGGGAGGAGGAGGGGGAGGCGGAGGAGGAGGAGGAGGAGGAGGAGGAGGCGGACGAGGAGGAGGAGGAGGAGGACGACGAGGAGGAGGAGGAGGTGGAGGAGGAGGAGGGAGGAAGGAGGGAGGAGGGAGGAAGGACGGAGGAGGAGGGAGAAGATCGAGGAAGCGCAAGCATGGATCAAGGCGCGTGCATTAGCGACGCGTCCAGCTTCCACGCAGGATCGGCGCGCTCCGCTGCCAGATGAGGCGGCACTGGCTCCGTGTGTCGGGGGGCACCTTCCCCGATGCGTGCGTGGATCCGGCGCCCACGCGCCACATCCGCAGATCCGCAATCCGTGTCGGCTTGCGCCCGAGATGGTGGAGCTCGGCGGCGGGAGCACCTGGCAGCGCCCCCCTCTCCTGCAGTCAAGCCGCCGAGAGGAGCACCGAGTTGGGGTCAGGAGGGGCTGGTGCTCGGGCCGCTCCTCGGCAGGCCTGGGCCGGGGAATCTGTTCGCGGCCGGCGCTGGCAGGGATCAAGACACCCCAGCCTGCGGACAGGAGGGGATGCCACGCAAGGGAATGGCCACCGCCCACTAAACTACCCCAACCCAGCCCGAAAGCCCCGATCTGCCCTCCACTTCTAGTGGGGGGGGGGGCTCGGGGGACACTGACAAAAACACATATGAAACCCGTACCCCCCCAACCCGAAATCCGGGTCTTCGGGTTGGGTTGGGGTGGTCTGGTAGGTAGTTAGATGGGATGGGTGGTCAGGGTGGGATGCGGAACTGGATCGCATGGGTCGTGTAGGGTGTCACATATAGCGCGAGCGCATCCAGCTGGTTCTCCTGCACTCCCACCTCGCCTCCCCTCCCCCCGCGTCGCCCAGATCTGCCGCATGGTCCCCAACTACGGCGGCGAGTCCACTGGGCATGGGGTGCCAGCCGCGAAGAGGAGTGAGGAGGGGGGTGAGGCCTCTGTTGGAGTGCGGGGCATCGGAGCTGCTCACGAGTCCGAGACAAACAATTGTGTGATACAGCACTGGAGGAGGCAGCTTGGTTCCCGCGGAAGATGGCACTGCCTTTACAAACAGGAGAGGTACGGAGTAGGAATTGGGAGGTTTGCGCGAGCAGACCAGCAGCAATGCCACGTTGGCAACCGCACCATTGTGGTACCGTCTTCGTGTTGCGTGAGGCTGCATCAGAAGAAGCACCCAGTACGTCAGCTCATGTGCCTTTCTGCCCCAGTCGCTCGCGCTCACTCACTCTTTCGCTCCCTCTGTTTGCTTGTTTTCTCTCTCTCTCTCTTTCTCTCCCTCTCTATCTAGTTATTTATATTGTGTTCTATGTCTCTCTTTATGGATCCTTCTCACCATATGTGTGGATCGATGCACATAAGAGAAACTGCATGTTGCGTATACGGACATACCAAAGTACCAAGGACATATTTGTGTTGTAGACATGGTGCCGTCGTACACATGTGTACATCGAAATATACATACATAGATCCATGGGTATCCATATTCGACCCACATATGCAAGCACACATATAGATTTAGATACAGCTATATATAAACATGTGCATATCAGAGTGAGGGGCAAACGGTCTTACACTGTCCCCAGGTACTTGGCTGAAGTGGGTTCCCGCGGTGCGGTTTATTGTTGTTTTGGTATGGTTTGGTTTGGTGTGTTTGTTTTGTGTTGTGTTGTGTTGTGTTGTTGTTTTGGTTTCGTCGTCCCAAACGCGACCCACCACGCGACTCACCCGCGACCCCCCCGCGACCCACCCGCGACCCTCCCCACGACCCACCCGCGACCCAGCCGGCGACCCGCCCACGACCTACCCGTGACCCAGCCCGCGACCCGCCCCGCGACGCAGTCGCGACCAACCCCGCGACCCATCCCGTTACCCACCCCGCGACCTACCCGCGACCCACCCCGCGACCTATTTGCGACCAACCCGCGACCCAACCGCGACCCACCCGCCACCCAACCCGCGACCTACCCCGCGACACCCCGCGACCCACCCGCGACCCACCCCGCGACCTACCCGCGACCCACTCCGCGGCCCACCCGCAACCCACCCGCGACCAATCCGCGACCCACCCGCGACCCATCCCAGGCAAGAGGAGGAGCAGGAGCAGGAGGAAGAGGAAGAGGAGGAGGAGGAGGACGAGGAGGAGGAGGAGGACGACGAGGAGGAGGAGGAGGAGCAAACGGAAACAGGCGAGGAGGCAGAGGATAAGGCGAAGGCGAGGGCCAGGAAGTCCGCCGCTTCGACGGCCGCGTCGGCCGCGCCCGCCCCTCACTCTTACCTGCAACTGCGGGGTGCTAGGTGTACGTATCCAAATATGTGTATAGAATCCAGTATCGGTGTCCCTGTCTCTCTCTCTCTCTCTCTCTTTCTCTTTGTCTCTCTGATCGTCAACGTCGCATTATCATCCTTCTGTCGCTTTGGGTGCTGGTGCTGGCCCTGCTATTGCCCCCGAGATGCGCATTTTACCAGACGTGGGGTTCTTCGGGCCGATCTATCAGCAGTGCTTCGCACGCGCATTACCAGAGCAGAGGTCCGGCTGTGCCCACAGATAATCGTGAGACTGCAGTAACACGTATAGATTGGAGCAGTTCTGGATATCGACGGTTGCTTGCTTCCAAGACTTCCACGTCGTCACTGCCACATCGCAGGTGTGTTGCCCCCGGGTTCCGCAATGTTCAGCACGCGTGCAAGACCACGTGCGGTCCCCAGGGGGCGCCGGCGCAGACGGGTGTAGCTCATGCTCGTCACGACAATGTTTGATCAGAGCCTCGAGCACGCTTACTGGGCAAGCGCGCGAATGAGTGAGCGGCGGCCACTGGGATGATCAGCCCACCTTGGCGGGCGATTCGCCAGTCACTCGAGCCAACGTCGACGCTCTTTCGGTGGAGGAGGGGGGAAGACGGAGGAAGGGCGAGGAGGAAGCATAATGAGCAGGAGCCAGAGCATCAGGAGCAGGAGGAGGAGGAAGGACGGATGAGGAGGGGGATGCAGATCTAGTCGGGGCCGATGGGTCGAAGATACGCGCGCCGAGAATTTCTCCCTCCACCGCTGTCCTCCCAGCAAAACCTTCGGGGCGAAAGATCATCGCGCACCGCTTTTGGAGGAAGGAGAGGTGAGGGAAGAGGAGGAGGAAGGGAGGGGGGGAGGAGAAGGAGGGGGTGAGGAAGAGGAGGAGGAGGAGGAGGAGGATGAGGAGGAGGAGAAGGAGGAGGCTTCCTCACCGTGACCTCTCCTCTTCCCCCCTCGCCCTGCCGGGGGCGCGGCGGGCGAGGAGGGCCAGCGGCACCCCAGCGGCCGCCACGCGATCGCAAACATGGATATGACACAATTATTCCTAATCCCTCATTGATCGTCCCCCGGGTCCGGTTTTTTAAGGCGCCTGCTTTGTAACTGGGGGGAGGTCCAGTTTAATAGGGCGCTTTCTTTGGATTGGAGCTTAGGGGGTCCGGTGTATTAAGGCGCCCCGTCGAAGAGGGGAGTCCGGAGTATTAGGTCGCATTTGGAGGGTGTCCGGTTTTTTAGGGGGGGGGGGGCGGTTAACAGGGGATTTGGAGTACCTGTGTTTGCGTGCCAACACGTTTTCATTTGCGGAGTTGGGCTCCATGGCGGAAGCGGCCGAGCGACGCCTGCAGTGGGACTCTCTGGGAACACGGCTGCCGCCGCAGAAACTGTCGGCTTAACGGCGGCACCGCACAGAGGCGGCGCCGAACAGAGCGACGGGTCCCGCTATCATGGGAGATCGCGGACCTCCGCCGCCGAGCGAGGCGGCACTGGCCGCCTGTTGGGGAGGGCGCCTCCGCCGACCCATGGATGTGGCGACCGCGCGCCAGATCCACGGATCGCTAATCCATGTCTGCACGCCCCCGAGGCCGGGAGGAGCAGCGAGGCCCGAGCGGAAGGCGACCCAGACCCCCGACGTGTCAGGATTCTGTCGAGACGCGGCCCCCAGAGTTGTGGAAGTCGCTCCATGGAGAGGAGGCACGTTGCCAAAACAGTTCCAGAGGTCTAACACGTGTTTTAAGCCTCTTTAAGACATGTAAACACATATTCCAAACATGTCTAGAACAGTTTTCAAGCATACCTCTCACAGGTTTGAATGCCCAAGCAGTGCTTCCACGGAAAAGGGTGCGGATGTTCACCAATCGGGGCTTGCACGAACAGGGTCCTAGCGGATATTCCCCCCTCGGGGCTTGCACTGAAGGGGTCCTAGCGGATATTGAAAGATTTGTTCGTAAAAGGCTTAACGACTTCTGCCGTCCTTCGACTCGCGCTGGAGCGGCCGCGAAGTGCTCGAACTTTCCCTGGAGATCTCTGGATTTACCTGGATTTACCCAGATTTATCTAGATTTACCTGGATTTACCTCGATTTATCTGCATTTACCTGGGTTTATCTGGCTCGATTCTCACAAGGCGATTGGCGAAACGTCGACAAGCCCTAAGGGATCTGTTCGTGGCTCGAGGGGGGGTCTGTGAGGCCCGAGCATAGAGAGGCGAATGAGGCGGGCCGGGCCCCTCCCGGCGGAGCGGGGGCAGGCCGCCGGCCGAAGGACCGCCGCGGAGCAAAAGGGCGGACCCCGAGGGAGAGGGGCCCTGAGTCAAGAGGGGAAAAAACACACAGACACAATTAATCGGCGATTCCCAGAAAATATGCGAGAATATGGGAAGTGGGGGGGAAGACAAAAAAAAACGAAAATATGGGAAAATACGGGGATATTTTTATTTGTGTGCATTTATTTGTGTGTCCCAGTTCCCCTTCACTGAGGCGTGACGCGCCCCGCTCGGGGATTCGCGCGGCCTTCCCCCCCCCCCCCCCCCGCGGGGCCCTGGGCCCTGGGGACGTCCGCCCGCAAGCAGGAAGGCTGCGCGGGGCCCAGACCCCCCCCCCTCGAGCCGCGGAAAAATCACGACGCGGGGGAGGTCTTTCGCTATTCTTTCGGCCTCGGGGTGCCTCCATCGGCCCCCATGGGCCGTCAGAAGACGACGCAGGAGGAAAAGCCGGCCCCGAGGAAAGGGTCCGAACCTCTCGGGGTCGCGTCATGGAAAATTCATGGCGTCGGGGGTTTGGGGTCAGGTCGGGCATGTCCTCCTATTGGGGGGATTTTTGACGAAAAACGAAAAATAGCAAAACAAATACCCCCAGATGGTTAAACAATATTAAACAAATCGCCCCCATTCTATGTTTTGCTATTTTTGAATATTCCTCCTGTACAGGGACAGGCCCGACTTAAGCCTGGGGATGAGGTATAGCTGGCCTCTGGGGGGAAGTCAGCCCCGCGCAGAGGGGGGTAGTTCAGGAGGGGCAAAACACACAGACACCACGAATCGCTAGGAGGGGAGAATAGGGGAAACTGTGGGAAGTGGGGGGGAAAGACCCTGACCTTCCAGGAGGGCTAAAAAATAGCACCAGGACCTCGACATCTAAATCCCTGTCGAGGTTTTGGGCAGTCCAGGTAGGTCTATAGGCCTGGAGGTCTATTTTTCAGCACTCTGGAAGGTCAGGGGACGAAGCCCCAGACAAATAATGGAACATTTGGGGAATACTGGGACCTGTGTTGAGTTATTTGTGGGTCCCTGGGCCTCTTTAGTAGGGGGAGGGGGGCCGCGCCTCCTAAGAAGCAGCCTCCTTCTGAGCAGCCTTCCCACTCCCCCTACCCCCTCAGCGCGCTGCCATGAATCCAGGCTTCCCAGATGGGGTCCGAGTAGATGGGTCGGAGGATCGCTCCGCATCGCCAATGCATCGACGGAGCGGCTCGATGTGGAGACCCTGTTTTCCCACGCCGACGTCGCCAATGCATCACCGGCGTCGCCGATGCATCGCTGATGCATCGGCAATGCATTGGCAATGCGGCGCGATCCGTCGACCTCATCTTTTCGGACCCCATCCAGGAGGCATCCAATGAAGGGCTCTCGGGATCCAGGGCCCGTTTCCCCCGAGGACCCGTTTCCTTCAAGCGAGGCGTCGTGAGCGGACAGCGTCGGGTCGGATGAGACAGGGGCCCAGACGCTCTCGCGTTGTGACAGAATCGCGACGGGAGTTTTGTTCGTAATTTTCGGCCTCTGGGGACCCTTCCCGGGAGCCGATGACGTCGGGGGTCTGGGGTTAGGTCGGGCTGGTCGCTAGCCCCCGAGATGTGGGACGAAAAGAACAAAAACAACCATGTTTCGAAAAAAACAAAGATAGTCAAACATAGCCGCCAGACTATTCTTTAAAGCTATGTTTGAGTATTCCTCCTGTAGAGGGACGTGCCCGAATTCAGTCTGGGGGGCGTGGGGGGGCGGGGGGGGGGGGGGGGGGGGGGGGGGGGGGGGGGGGCGGGGGGGGGGGGGGGGGGGGGGGGGGAAGAGACAATCTTGCGGCCTGGCAGCTGTCTCGGTCCCGCCGCCGGGGCGGAGCGCTCTCCGCGATGGCGCTCGTGGGCGCCTCGGGCGCGCCTCCAGGGTGGGTCGGGGGGGGGGGGGCTCGGGGGGGGGGGGCGCCAGGGGGAAAAAAACGGCGCTGCCGTGACCTTTTTTTTTGCTTCGCCACCCCGTCTTCGCGCCCAGACATCGCACCTGCCCCGCCAGAGAGGAGAGAGGAGAGAGGA